AGAAGGGAGTTCCCCAGTCTGTAGGTATGTTGCTGGTTCTTACTGCCCAAGTGCAGTACCCTGCACTTGTCAGTATTGAATCCCATCCTATTGTCATTTGCCCACCCCTGTAACCTGTCCAGGTCCTGCTGTAATCTGTCCTGCTGCTAGAAGTAGTATGCCCACCTCACCCCAAATCTTGGTGGCATCTGCGAATTTGAACATGCTACTCTTCACCCCGTCGTCCAAGTTGCTAATAAAGAAATTGAACAGCGCGGGCCCAAGGACCGAGCCCTGGGGGACTCCACTGCCCACCTCCCTCCAGGTCGAATATGACCCATCCACCACCGCTCTGAGTACAACCCCTCAGCCAATTTGCTATCCATCTGACTGTGTAGGCATCAATGCCAGTCACCTAGTTTTTTTTAATGAGAATGGGGTTGGAGACAGATGCCACAGTAAGAAGAGCTGTGCCCTCACTGACTTGGGCAAGGGATGGCTTTCTGCTCCAGGGGCAGCAGGTGCCTCTTTCCTTTGCCAGATGTTACAAAAGGCCAAGGATTTCCCAATCTCCTGCAGACGAGGTTGAGGGTCACAAAACAGAGGCTCTGCAGCGAACAGCTCCTCGCGGAGGGCCAGGGCCATTCCAGAGTCCCGTGATTGTCACCGTCTCAGCAGAGAAGGCACCCGTGACAGGACAGTGATGCCTGCCCCACTGAGAAGAGCCGTCCCCTCTGCCATGAGCAGAGCCTGGCTTTTGGCATGGAGTGGGTCAGGCTGCCTGGCTCCCCCAGGTAAAATCCCAAAGCCACTCCAGGCCTGGGGGACCAGCTGCTCACAGGCAGGGCTACACATTACATGGCGTTGCTCTTTGAAGTAGTTGGGGCACATTCATCCCTTGCCCTCCAGCTGCCAGCCATGGCCTCCTCTTTCCTATTGCGTGTATGGGTTGTTTGTGTAGTGGCTTGGAGCACCACGTGCAGCTGGAACCACACGCAGCAGTGCTGGCCCCGCCACCTCCCCCCACTCACCCTCTGACCAGGGGACAAGGTCTCAGGCAAGCCAGAACCTTTCAGCCTCCTTCCGTGTTTGTGCAGCACCAAGCACAGCTGGGCCATGTCCCTGCAGGGCTTCCAGGCACCACAAGAATATTAAAAGGCAACTTCTGTCTCAGGAAGGTAGAGCTGCCCCAGCGCTGGAAGGAGAGGGTTTGCTCGAAGGCTCTTCAAAAAATGGGAGGGGGGGAGCAAAAGCTTTCTCCCCCATCCCTCTCACAGCAGAAGTAGCAGCAGAGAGCACAGAGGGGCTGTTCCACAGTGCAAGTGCAAGGACAGTCCCTTGAATTACACTGCCAGGCCACAGGGGCCCACCCACGAGGACATGTGGGCCTTGTGCCAGCTCAGGCCTTCCTAGGGAGCAATGGACATGGGGTGAGAATGGGAGCAAGTGCCACCCCTCCATGCCCAAAGTGGCAGGTCCCCTGGTGTCTTCTGGCACAGGTCACAGAAACAAATGGCAGACCAGATGGCTCTAGCTGCACTGACCCAGCAGCGCAAAGACACCAGATGTCTGAGCACTGCTCAGAACAAAACCTTGCTGAGACGTGCTCAAACAAAGCAGTTCTTCCAGCAGGGCCTTTGCCACAGGAGTGAAAAATCAGCTCCTTCAGCCCCTGCTGCACAGGAAGGCATAGACAGAGTTATCCCTGGAAGGGCCAGCTTGCAAAAGTGGGCGAGGTGCAGCAAGGCACACAGATGCTGATGTGGGTCAGAGGGGCAGGCCCTGGGAGTGTCCTGGAGAGGGCAGGAGGCAGCTATGAGAAGAGAAAGGGCACCTCAGCTAGTGAGAGGGAGTTCCAGGCTGAAGAGAGGCTGCTGGGGCTAGGGCAGAGGGGAGGGGACATATGGCAGGACTAGACAGAGCTGTGTTTTGCAAGCCCTGATGCTTCTAGGCTACTTCTGCTGACGCTAAAGCAAGAGCCAGCCTGCGCTACATTCTGCATCCCAGGGGCAGGAGCTCTCCACCACCACCTAGCCACATCCACAATGGGCAAGAAGCAGGTATCAGGGTGTAGCAAGGGGCTACTTAGCTTTTGCCTGGCAACTGCAGCCAGGCAGCCCATCTCTGCTGTTCCCACAGTAGTTTCCAGCAGGTGCCACCCCTAGAAGCCTTTGCTCAGGGTGAGCCAGTTCCTGTGGGAGAGTCAGGGAAGGCAACTCTCCAGCAGGCCTTTGTGGCACTGCAACCCCCCCCAATTTGCACATGTGCTGGGAGCCCTCCAGCGCCCCGGGCTCAGGCATTGTGCTGCATCCGGCATTGCTTGCTGATCCTAATGCATCCTGCCAGACCGCTGAGTGGCCAGTTTACATGCTCCCGATTCCAGCTACTCTGCTGCTTCCGGCGGAGCCTGCCCTGCCCGGGTGGACGTGCCATTCCCCGGCAGTGCAGGAGAACATCCACGGCCTCCTGGCCTTCCTGGAAGGGCCCACATCCCCTCAGGCAGCCACCAAAGCTAGCCGAGGAGGTTTATTTTTGTTTTAAGTGATTCATAAAGGCTGCATCTCACGCACCTCCTCCTCCTCTTGCTGGATGGTACCAGCTCATCGGGGATGTCACAGCTTCCCCATCCAGGGGAAGGTGACAGGGGCATGTGCTGGCACTGGAACAAGTTGGCAGCATCTGCCAAGCCTTCCTGATGCCTGTGAAGTCAGCAGGCGCCGTCGCACATGTACACAGTGTGCCATTCCCCATGCCTGAGGAGTGCTGGCGAGGACTGCACACCTCCCAGTGTGTATTCGGTTCTTCACATCTCAGCCAGGCAGGGTAGTTCTCAGCAGTGTGACGGGGTGAATGTGCCACTGCTGGCCCAGCCCAGCCCAGCCCAGCCCAAGGGATCTGCCTGGCAGCCCCCCCCAAGGCACCAGGGGCTCCAGTGAAGGAAGCAGTTGCTGTGCTGATCGTTGTTCACTCCATCGGCACAAGTCCTGCACATCAGATCCCCGCTCCCCCCAGCGCAATCTGGGCTGACAGACCCCAGGCTGACCCAGCGGACTGCAAGCTGCCAGATAGCTTGCCTGACAGCGGACGCACTGCTCAGGAATGCACATCAGGAGAGCCGATGGAGCTGCATCATCTGCCTGCTTGTGGCTGGGTATGACTGGAGTTAAACGGCCGTAACCTTAGAGCCAAATTAAGCAGATTTAAAGTTCCCATGGTTTATCTCCATTTGTTTCACTATAGGAGTGGACAGATACAAACAGCTGCCTTGGTTTAGCGTGACCTGCAGCAAACCAGTATAAATCGTAGCTATTAGAAGTGTGTTTTCTGTCCATACCCTCCCTTTCACAATTGGAGATCTTGATAGACAGAAGTCCCTGATTTTCCCCAAGGCCACACAACAAAACCTGTAAGCAGCCAAAGGCACCACTCCTGCCGATTCCCAGGTTGATGCAGTATGTCCAGTGCTCAAGGACTTCTCTAGATAACTAGCTGCTCTTTGACTCTTTCAACTGCAGCGGTTTGCTAGGCGGGGGCATGCACACTCGGCCTGGGGAGCAATGAACTCTGCCTCTAAAATAAGCCTGGCAGCGAGACTCTCCCCTGCCACGCACAAATAATGTCCCAGCCCAAACACAGAAATGTGCTGACCTCAACCATTAGTCAGCCAAGTGCACAGACTAAACTATGGTGCACCACAGCTCTGCCCAGAGCCCAGCTGCCCGCTGGTCATTACAGCCCCATTACAGACAAAGCACTACGATGTTCTAGGCCCTAGAAGGCACCTTCGTGGTGAAGGAGTAGACGCTTTCCAAGGGGAGGCACCAGCTGGGCAACTCTACCCTGGTCTCATCACGGGAGGGGGGGCACGTTCCTCAGCACAACTGCCAGCACAGCCCTTGTGCCAAGATGACAGTGTCAGGGCCCCCTGCCTGGGCTGAGCAGCAGGTTTTCAGGACAAATGACAGAGGAGAACATTCCTGCAGTCTCTCATGCTATCCGCCCACTGAAGGCACAGCAGCCTGGCACTTCCTTCGGAGGGGTTTCTCAGCCAGCAGTTCTCAGCACGGTCAATGTTTCCGACTGGCTTGCACAGAGCTTCTGGCACCACATCTACATTTTGGTGCATGTTTATGCTTGGCTTGCGGACCACAGACCAAAGGAGACGCTGGTCACAGCAATTCTTCCTCTTGATCCATATCACCAGAGCAGCCCCAGGGCCGGTCTGCCATGCCTCATTCCACCAGCCCCGGATCTACACAGAGATCTGCAACCCAAGCACACCTGCATCTTTGCAAACTAGTTGGGAAATGTCTCCATCCTGCCTGGGCTATGGTTCTGTCACTCTGCGTTGAGGCACAGGAAGGCAACACTTTGCACAGCCATTTTGATACAGAATCACAACAAAGGCAATATCAGGCATCCCCATGGGACCTCGCCTTGAGATGCCATGACACAGCCACACTAGGCATGACAGCCCCCAGCACTCACAGACTAGCCCGGGGATGGTGCCGTTCTAGGGCTTCGGGCTGGGTGTGGCCATGTACCACATTGCCTCCCGTAATGCTGCCATCCTCTAGCTTGAGATGAGATGCTAGATAGGAGCTTCCCTCCTGTGAAAGGCCGATGGGGATTCGTCCTTAGCTCAACAGGCAGAGCTGCTTCTCCTTGACCATCTACACCGTGCCAGTCAGGAAATCCTGGCTCGGGTTTCTCATCCTCCCCACCCCCGCCTCAGGGATGCAATAAATTCCTCTTTCATTGTCTCACTATGAGTCCCTCCAGCTTGAAGACAATTTTACCCCAGTAAATATTTTCACATTTTCTTCCTATGCCATGAAATCTGGCAGTGACACAGCTCTGGCACACGGCTCCCTCTTCCTCTCGGTGCTAGCACCTGCCCTGCACACGGAGGGAGGAGCTCGTTTAGGACCCAACTGGATGAAACGCAGCAGCAGACCTAGCCCAAGGGATCCCAAAACCTGAGCTGGCAACACACGATGCTCTCGGATACGAGCACCCACCACACGCTAGTCCCATCGCAAGTTGCTGTACCAGTACCACTGGGTCAAATCCAGGCCCCGTAGGACCACAATCAGATCATCGCACTCCTTTCTGGCTCAGAGATCTGCGACCCCCACTCCAAAGCAGCGACGTCCTGACTCAACGCAGTTGCCTTCTTCTTCCGCTACCTACACGGCACCCACCATGCCCACCTTGCCGGCACCGCCAAGGCTGCGAGCATCTGCCCACCTGTTCCGAGCCTGCCCAGTGCTGCTCGCCTATGGCTTCACCCTGCAGCAGAACAGTGATGGAAAATGAGCCCCTGCCACGTACCAGTCCTTCCCAAAATTATATTTGCTCTGTGGCACTTCATTAAAGGCTGTTTTGTCAGGCAGCGCTCGGCCCGGCGTTATGTATCATGGGTAAACACCCTTTGTCTCAAGGGTTATGAAGCTACCGAGCAGCTCCATGCCTCCTGCATAATAAACAATCTGTATATCAAGTGCTGGGAGGATTTATGAGCTCCTTGGACAATACGAGGCACGGCTTTCTCTGGGAGGAGCCGACGGACCGGGGCTGCCTCCTCCAACCCGGGCTGCAGAGCGCCCCAAGCCCGGCCGAGCGCAGCACCCTAGCGCCAGGCTCCGAGAGAGGCAGGCGGAGACAAAAGGGCAGACGGGCTGCGAGTGGCACTGCCCGGCGGGTCGCTCTCGGCCGCTCCCGGCCATGGAGGCGGCGCCGCGCCCCGGGGGCAGGGGCAGGGGCAGAGCCGGAGCCGGGTGACCTTGGGGCAGGCGGGGAGGGACCCC